AGTTTGGGGTTTGTTCTGTGTCTGGAGTGCATATCTGCTCGGCTTTCATGATGTTAGGGAAATTTTCTTCCAACAATTCTTCAGTCGTTTTTTTCTTTTTGTTCTGGAATACCAATCACTCATAAGTTATTCCTCTTGATGGTGTCCCACTTAAATCTTAGGCTTTCTTTAGATTTTGAGTTTGTTTTTTCTGACTGTCCTACTAGCAGACTAGTATTGACAGGTTTGTCTTCACCCTTACTTCCTGGGCCTTCCGTTTATTCAGATTTACTCATTGTCCTTTCAGTATATTATCCATTTCTGAAATCTTGGTATTAGTCTTCTGCATCTCTACTTTCAGTTTTTACATTGTCTCCAATTTCACATTTATTTTGCCAGTTTGTTCTTGTAGTATTTTCCTGAATTCTTTTAAAGTTGTTTCTGTGTTCTCCTCTCAGTCTGTCAGAAGTACTTAAATGTCCTTCTATTTCAGGTAGTCCCAATACCTTTTCTTTTATGGAAACAATTTTTGGCTCTGCAATTTAATCACTTGTTTGAGTTCCTCTGTCTTGTTTCTTTGTGTTAACTGAAATTGTCTGCTGACTCCATATTGTGGTGTCATTGTATTTGTATTTAATTGTTGATGGTATGTTGGTGTATTCTTAGGCATTCATAACCTGCCTCCAGGTGAGTGTGATAGACAGTGGAAGTATGGGCACAGTTCCCTCTTAGATGCTCGCATAATGCAGTTTTGGGTGGGTTTTGGTAGAGTTGGCTGCTGTCTTGTCATTGATCAGGTGGTACAGAAGCTCTTTCTCACTGGGTGGGGCTGTAGGGCACATGGTTGTGGCAGACTGCATGGGTAAGGTTGTCTTCTGTGAGGTAGAGCAAGAAGGGAAGAAAAAAAAAGAAATCTCATAAGATAAAAAACACAACAGCAAAAAAAGAAGAAAGGTGAAAAAAACTGATAGCAGCAAGGGAAAAGAATATAATAATTAAAAAGAGAAAACAGTAAAGGAAAATAAAACAAGAGAAGATGAAAAGAGAAAATAAAGCACAATAAACAAAATAGGGCAAGGGAAGAAGAAAACAGTTGAGGATAGTAAAGAAAAAGCAAGAGAAACAATGAAGAGAAGGAGGAAGAGAAAAAAGAAAGGTGGAGAAAGAAAGGATAAACAATGAGAAGGGAAAGAATGAGAAAATGAAGGGAAAAAACACAGGGCTGGGGCCAGACTCTGCAAGGTGAAAACTAGCGGCAGGGTACTCAGTGTAGTTTGGTGCCGTCTGCCAGCCAAGTAGCTCATAAGGGAGGAAGAGGGAGAGGGTGGTGTGCCCGGCTGTAAATGGACTTCCTGTTGGCCTAGGTGTGTGGTGTCTATGATGAGAGGGTCTTTGTTCACAGAGGAATACTCTCCAGCCCAGCCGACAGCTGGGGGTAGGGTGCCTAGTTATGGGGTTTCATGCTTGTCCAAGGCTGGCCAAGGGACCACTTCTGCATGTTCTACTGATCTGAAGAGACAGGTGCCAGGGTGGAATGCTAGTTGCCCAACTCATAATAACATGACTCTGACCTCTGGCAGAGCAGGGCCATAAAGGGGACGGTGCAGGGCTTATGGAGGGCTGAGCGGGCAACTGGTCACCAGGGAAATGTGGGGAACGTGAGAGAATCTCACCTTTCTTGTCTCCCAGCTACTGGCATACATCCTTCCATGAGATATCCATCTGGATCCATTGCTGCTCGTAAAAGTTCAAGATGGCTGTGCCAGATCATGCCAGCCACAGTTCACCTGTCAACCTCTCTTGCTACCCCTGTTGAGCTTCTTCTCCCAGTCAGTATTCAGTCCACTTGTCTTTACTCATGTATGGTAATCTCAGGTTGTTCTCTGCTGCTTTGGTTCCAGGATTATCACCTATATCTGTTTTATTGGGTCTCTCTTGTCTTTGTTGTAGAGGGTCTGTGTAGTGTGTCTGCAAAATTTGTCATCCTGCTGGAAGTCCAGTGTGTTCCTTTTCATTACAGAACAGTAATCAGTGTTTTATATATACCACAGTTAGTATAACCATTCACTCAATGAAGGCATTCTGGTTTCCTTTTCTTGGCTATTATGGTTAAGGCTACAGTGAACATTGTATACAAGATTTTGTTCAAGCATAGTTTTTCGCTCTCTGGGATAAAAGCTCAGAAGTACAATTACTGGATTGTATGAAAATTGCAAGTTTAGTTTTATAAAAGCTACCAATTTGCTTTTGTGGAGCTGTTAAGTGCTATTGAGTTGGTTACAACTCATGGTATCCTATATAGGGTTTCCGAGGAGCAGCTGTTGAGTTTGAACTGCCGACCTTACAGTTCAAAGCGACCTTGTGGTCCAGCAGTTATCCCATAGCACCACACCAGGAGTCCATTCTCACTGTCTCTTCATCCTCACCATCACGAGCTTTGTCACTTTTTAGTGTAGTCATTCCGATAGGTGTGTGGTGATCTCATACTGATTTTAATTTGTTTTCTCCTAACAGGATCTCTGGTAGCATAGTGGTTACGAATCGGGCTGCGAACCTTAAGGTCAGCGGTTCAAAACTACCAGCCGCTCCGCGGGAGAAAGATGAGGCTTTCTACTCCCGTAAAGATTTACACCCTTGGAAACCCTGTTAAGGGTCGCTATGGGTCGGAACCGACTCGATGGCACTTAACAACAAACAACAACAATGTCTAATGAGGTTGAGCTTTTTAAAACTGCTTATCTGTATATTGTCAAGGAAATATCTATTCCTATCTTTTGATCATTTCTAGTTGGATTGTTTTTTAGTATTGAATTTTGAGAGTTTTCTGTAACTTCTAGATATCTTTATTAAATATGTAGTTGGCCAATATTTTCTCCCAGTGTGTAGCTTGTTTCATCCTTGTAACAGTCTTTTGTTCTTATTTTAATGAGATTCAGCTTAATCAGTTTTTTCTATTATGGGTTGTGCTTTTGGGGTGAAGTCTGAGACCTCTGTGTAGTGTTAAATCTTGAATGTTTTCTCCTTTTTTCGTCTGTGATGCATTTTGAGTTAATTTTTGCATAAGTGATGAAGTTTAGGTCAAGGTTCATTTTTGTCTTTGTCCAATTGTAACAGCACTATTTGTTGAAAAGGCTGTTCATGATGTTTTTCAGTTGATTCTCGATGACACCTAAATCATATCTAACCTCATTGCAGGATGACTTGCTTCTGAAAAACCTCTTCTTTCCCATGCATGTAAAGAAAAAAATACAGTGTAAGGGACTCCTGGTGTGGCGCTGTAGGATCAGCACTGGAGTGCGAACCACAAGGTCAACAGTTCAAAGCCACCAGCTGCTCCTCAGAAACCCTGTATAGGGTTGCTATGAGTCCGAACCAACTCAACAGCAACTACAAGGGTTAAAAGTTCAGGGTCTGTAGCCAGAGTTCTTGGGTTTGAAGACGAGTTCCGTTACTCACTAAGTATCTTAGGGACTTGAAACAACTGTTATGGTCACAGTTTTATGAGTTGGCGTTTTGGACCAGGCTCCACTGCACAATGGTTATGTGTCATGTCAGCTCGCAGACTGGCTCTAGGCTGCTTGTTAGGGACCAGAAAGGCTCTGTTGGGTTGCTCCACAAGATCTCTCCTCCTCTGGCAGGCTATCCTGTACATTGGTCAGAAATTAGAGCTGGGTGTCCCGACCCATGGAACATGGGAATTATACCACTGAACAGCTCTGTGAAAGAGCCTCCTCTCTTATTGCCACTGCACAATTCTTTCTTCTGTCACTTTAAAGAAGTTTAAGTTTATTTAAACAACAAGACACTTGACATGAGGGAAAAACTATCTAGGATTCATTTCTTTTTAGAGTAATTTACCCCTACTTGACTCTTGGTATGACGCTGTAGGATCACCACGGGAGTGCGAACCACAAGGTTGGCAGTTCAAACCCACCAGTTGGTCCTCGGGAACCCTATACAGAGTCACTATGAGTTGGAACCAACTTGGTGGCACTTAACAACAATAACAAAACATATATGGTATAATTTTTAAATAATTGTTTTCTTAGATTATGATAGTTTTTCTGGGTATGAAATAGCAGTGCATTTTTACTGCATAAATTTGGAAAATACAAATGAGAACCAAGAAAATTCCAACCACCCATAATATCCCCAAGAGATGTTTGTCTTCTTCATCTTTCTCTTATACATTGAGGCATGTATATGACAATAATATACGACAGGATTTTCCTCTGTTAGTAAAATTATAAAAATGTTTATTTTTCTCCTATTTTGGAAATTTACTCTGCCTCTAATTCTTCCTATTATAAAATAGCACTCTGGCGAACAGCCTTCTGATAAATCTTCTTGCCCCTATCTTTGATTAGTTTCTTCAGATAAATTTTGAACATGAACTTGCTCAGAAGATGTGTACATTTTTAAGGCCTTTGATACATTTTGCCAACATGTCTTCAATGAGCGTTTGAATATGCCTGTAACCTTGGTGCTGTATAGAGTATAAACTCTCACACAATAAGAGATAACATGCTCCGTATAGTTTCTGATACACTTTTCATTCAGTAATAACAAAGCTACTTTGGATGGCTAAACTGTTTACTATTCTGCCTACATCTTTATATTGAAATGCTCTATTATGTGTTTCTCTTCCTTGTATTTGATTTTGTTTAGGGGCTGCAGATCGTGCCCAAACTCCAACTATCAGCCATGTTCGTTCTTGGAGCAACATCCCATTTATTACGGTGCCCCTCAGTCGTACCCATGGCAAGTCTTTTGCCCACCGCAGTGAGCTGAAACATGCTAAGAGGATCGTGGTGAAACTCGGAAGTGCCGTGGTAACCCGAGGGGATGAATGTGGCCTGGCACTGGGGCGTCTGGCATCTATTGTAGAGCAGGTAATTGCCAAGATGAGAAATCCTGCTGAACTAAAACATTACAGGGTTTTAACATTGTTGGTGCAGCCTTTTGGACTTGCTAAAATCAAAAAATAATTTCACCCAATCTGGAAATCCCCCTTCCCCAGTGTAAATGCTGTAGGAGATGATGTCCCAGGATAAGGGTAGAGTGGTGTCATAGTTCACTTGGCCTTGGCTGTATGCTGTACAGTCAGTTCCAACTTCTAATGACCATGTATAGGGTTTCCGAGGCTGTAAATCTTTACAGAAGCAGAAAGCCTCTTCTTTCTGTGGAGCCACTGGTGGATTTGAACTGCTGACCTTGTGGCTAGCAGCCCAGCACATAACCCTCTACTTCACCAGGGCTCCTTTCCTTTCTTTAGTGATAAGGAGATATGGCTGCATAGTAGAATCCTCTGAAGAGCCTGGAGACGCCTGGGTGGTACATCAGACCAGTTAATAAGTATTTCTGGGAGGGAGCCCAAGTTGCTGTGGTTTTAAAGTTCCCCACATGATTTTAGTACATAGACACAGTTAAATGTCCTGATTAATGGGTGTAAATAGTGAGGTTTTTTTCTGTTCTGATGGGCTTTTTCTTTTTAAGTTAAATTACCCGATAATCAGGAAATCTTTGTAATGACAGCTGATGTTTACTTCACAAGTTTAGATATTAGAAAGGACTCACCAGACATCACCGAGCATGCACATGTGGGGTTCTCATTTAAGGGCAAAGGATACAGTGCCACAGGAGAGAGTGTAAGTGAGCCATCCTGTGAGCAGGCGTGCAGGATCCTTCTTCACACAGGAGCCACACTGTCTCCAGATTGCGATGGGGAACTTGGGCTTCGGGAGCACTCAGTGCAGAATTTCCCAGGAGGTTTTTATGTAGTCAAGTCAGGCTATCAGTAACGAATGTGGGAGTCAGCTGGGGGATTTGGGCTTTAAACATCACATCATAATCTCACTGCCTTTGCTTTGGGCGAGAGCAAGGATCAGAAAAGCAAACCTTTTCTGAAAAGGACCAGATAGTAAATATTTTAGACTTTTTTAGACATGTTGTCTGTTAAGCAGAAATGGACAACAATCTAAACAAAACCAGAGTTCATTCTAACAAAACTTTATTTACAAAACCAGATGGTAGACCATATTTTACCTTGGAGTGATAGTTTGCTAGTCAAAAGCATAAAAACCAAGCATCCCAGGCATCCCCAGAGATAGTCAGCTCTATCTTCCATAACTATATTTCAGGTTTTAAAAAACAGCTTTCCTAAGGATTTGATATTGGGAAAGTGATAACCTGAAATGTGGTGAAATTTTCTTATATTTTCTGTAGTAAGCAATTATTATCAAAGTCTGCCAATTCAATTTGACAAATTTGGTGATCATCAACAACTCATAAAAATAGACGGCTGGAATTATGTAGCTCCCTTATTGGGCATGTAAGAACCCCTAATGATACTGTAGGATAAGCACAGGCTTGTTATCCACAGGGTCCACAGTTCTATTCCACCAGCTACTCCACAAGAGAAAGATGAGGCTTTCTGCTTCTGTAAAGATTTACAGCCTCAGAATCCCTATACATGGTCGCTATGAGGCAAAATGGATTTGATGGCGGTGGGTGAGTTATTGGACACGTACAAGGCCACCTAGTTAGAATTCTAGCAAAAAAATATATCAAGCCTCTCTGTCTAACAGCAGTTTACAGGAAATATGGAGAGCATGATTAATCACCAAAATCCAGACTGGGAAACTCCAGAGAGTAAGCAAATTTCTTTAATTACATATTTAAAAAAAAAAAAAAATTGCAAGGATTATTAGAGACACTTGGTTAGTGCATTGTGTATCTTTGTCCTTGGTATTTTTCAGTTAAATGCTAAGTACTTTATACTTCAAGTAAGAGAAAGGCAATGTGAACACTGACTCATATTTGCTACTAAGGAATTATTCAACTTTTTTTAGATATTGGTCTCATGAATATATGCCTGTACATGTGCATTCCCTGCCTTTTAGAGATTCCTCATGAAACATTTATAGACGATATGATCTGCCTAGGTGGCACAGATGATTAAGTTCTCTGCTATTAGTCAGAGATCGGCGGTTCTGACTCTCCCAGAGATACCTCAGAAAACAAGCCTGAAAATCAGTTTCTGAAAGGGCGTAGCCTTACAAACCCTGTGGGGCAGTTCTAGTCAGCACACGTGGGGTCACCTTGAGTCAGAATCAACTTGACAGCAACTAATAACATGTGATATGACTGGGGTGTGGGGTGTACTTTAAAACAATGATGGAGGTCAAGAGAGAGGTTACATTGGAAAGTGAGATCTGTCCATGATAGTTGTTGAAGGGTTATAGGTGCGTGATGGTTAATGATCATTTTGCACAAGTTTCTGTGGTAAAAGTTGTGAGATTTTGTGGTTAAATCATGGCTTGTCACAGCTGTAATCAGGTTCAGGCATCAGTAGACAAGTTGGAAACACTTACTCTCTGGGTATATTAAGTCTTTGCTTCCTTCATGTGAATCTGTCCAACAGAGGAATCCAAATGACCAGAACTGACTCCAGACAAAGAGTAGAACGGGAGCAATGTCTATCCCTAATTTAGGCAAAGGAAACCCATAGGTTGTTAAGTGCTGTTGAGTTGGTTCTGACTCATAGAGACCCTAAAGGGTTTCCAAAGAGTGGCTGGTGGGTTTGAACCACCGGCCTTGGTGTTAGCAGTCCAGTGCTACTCCTACATCACCACACAACAACCTCCTCTACTAAGATTACATTGTAGTTTTTCCCTTCAGACTTCGGTTCTGGAGTTTATTTCATGGAGCAGCTAGACCTGAATTGCACAGACACCTAAGATACCATCAAGTCCTTTGATCCTAAACCTGACTACAGACTTGAATGCCCTTGTTAAGAACTTTGGGTTTGTGCCTGCCACCTACTAAACAGATTTAAGGCAAAAAAGTAGGATTTTTTATTCAACAATCTATGTGGTTCTTACAGGACCAGCCAAGCAAGGTGGGTCCACAAACCTGCCTTTGGGATCCACTTCACAATGAGCTCAAATATGCCAAAGATCATGGAGATGGCTGAGAACTGGGCAACATTTGGTTCTGTTATGTATAACGTCTCCATGAGTGTGAGCCAACTTGGCAGCAACACTAGTCTACCCTACTTGGGTCTCTAATGAAGAAAGAGGGAGGCATAGAGCAACTTGTGTGCCTTTTCCTTCCTCAACGTCAGGTGTCAGTGCTGCAGAACCAGGGGCGAGAGATGATGCTGGTGACCAGTGGAGCAGTAGCCTTTGGCAAGCAACGCTTGCGCCATGAGATCCTTCTGTCTCAGAGTGTGCGTCAGGCCCTGCACTCAGGGCAGAACCAGCTGAAGGAGATGGTGAGTGCTGCTTTCCCCATGCCCTGTGACAGGGGTCTTCAGGCTCCCTTCCCTGATCCTCAATCCCAACCATACCTGATTTGATTCTGTCTTACAGTCAATTCCAGTCTTAGAGGCCCGAGCTTGCGCAGCCGCTGGACAGAGTGGGCTTATGGCCTTGTATGAGGCCATGTTTACCCAGTACAGCATCTGTGCTGCCCAGGTGAGAAGCTGGGCTTAATGGGGGGTGGTATGGGGGCGGTGGGGCCAGAGAGTGAATTCCATAAGCGATCAGACTATGAGCAGGATTCTGGATCCAGACTGCCAGAATACAATCTTGCCTTCACTAGTTGCACTTGCCACTAGACCTTCATATAATAGATACCTATTGAGTATTGAGGAGTCCTGGTGTGGCGCTGTGGGTTAACACGCTGGACTGCAAAGTCGGTTTGATCCGCAAGGTTGGCGGTTCAAACTCACCAGTTGTTCCTTGGAAACTCTCTATACAGGGTTGCTATGGGTCGAAACTAACTCGACAGCACTCAACAACAGCAACAACATTGAGTATTGAAGGAAAAGAGGAATGCTGATGTAATTGGTTTGTTTTTCATTCATTCAATAAATATTTATTGAGCACCTATAGTATACCAAACAGTACATTAGGTATCAAGGATAGTGTGGCAAACAAATCAGACATGGTCTCTGTTCTCCCCGAACTTACACATTTTTAGTAATGACCCTGAAAGTTCTGGAACCTTGGTTCTAAATATTCTTTTCTTCATTGTGAATTAAGTAAAGGTTTACAGAGCAGATCATCAAATCATCTATGCAACCAAACACCATTTAAAAACATCTAAATATCAGTCATTTCATAGTAGAACTAAAGACGCTTAACTTCTGTTTCTTCATTTTCTCGATTGTCATCACAATGCTGCTTTGGTATTGTACCAGGTGTCCTGGAGTAATAGGTTAAAACAAAAACAGAGAGCCATGAATTTGTTCCAATATTATTGTGATGCCCCCTCTCTGTGATGTGAGGTTTTCTGTGTCTGTACAGATGCATAGAATCTAGACCTTTATTCGCTCTTTTTTCCTACCAGCTATCTCTTCTTCACAGCCCAGTCTTTAGTTTTTTAAAAAATGTTTAGAACCAGGGAAGGAAGTTTAGGTCCAGACTTTGCTTTTGTTTTGTTCCCTAACCCTCCCCAGGACAGGGCTTTTTGAGGACTTTTGGTGTGGGACTTCTTAAAAATTATTATTATAGTAGCATTAAACATTTCTGTTATTATGGATGAATAAGAGCTCTGCGCCCAACACTTTTTCCACAAGCACCAATCCATGGGCCTCTCACACACGAGCCCTTCCTGGGTGCTTTGATCTACAGGAAATCTCTGCCCTTTGCACCTTTTCCTTAAGTTCTTTATTTTCTTTAGGGATCCTACATAGAAGCCGTTATTAGTAGCTTTTGTAAATCCCAAGTGAGTTGTTTAAACAAGTGTAACCATTTAGATTTTTTTTCTATATAGAACTGAAACACATTTTTCTGTCTTGAAGCTTTGTCTCTTACTTTTGTGGCCAGATCCCTATCCCTTGCTGATTAAAAGGTATGTTCACTGGACCTTTAGACCTCTTGCCTGCCTTTCTGGCAAAGATGTGTTTGCTTTTACTGTTGGACTTTTCACACATCATGACTAGAATCTATATGTTCAGCTTTGCCCTAGTCCTATTTCCTGTGAACTAAATTTGTTTTAAAAGAAGCCCATGGCCTTGTTTAAGAAAAATGGGCCCCGTTTCATCTTCCCCTAAACCGCCAACATTTATTCTCCATCCCAGCATCTAGTACGGGGCCCAGCAACTCATAGTTACTTAACAAATTTTTTATCAAATGAGTGAGTGGATTGGTTCCTTCAGTCTTGTTACGTCTGTCTTCCTTACCCACATTTTCTGTTATTTAAGGTTGCTGGACTTTCTTTCTTAATAATGCTGTTTTCCTTTCAGTCCCCATAACCAGACTCTAGTTCAGCCCTTGGCCACACCCACTTTTACTATCTGTTCTTGACCGTCTCTCTTCAGCCTGTTCTATAAGCAAGAACCCTTTCCTTAAGCTTATCAGAGAGATAACATTAAAGCTTTATTCATCAGTTTTAGGAATTTGTACCATTTAGGTTTTTGCTAAGGAGCTCTGGTAGCATAGTGGTTACAAGTTGGGTGGGTTCCTAACCTCAAGGTCAGCAGTTCAAAACTACCAGTCATTCTGTGGGAAAAAGATGAGGGCTTTCTGCTACCATGAAGATTTACAGCCTTGGAAACCCTATACAGGGTCATTATGGGTCGAAACCAACTCCATGGCATCCCACCATCAGCCATCAGTTTTTTACTATCCCCATGTATTCTCTCCTGCTAAACAAAAAAAACATACTTTTTTTTTTTTTTTTGGTCTGCAAATGTTAGTACTTTTTGTTTTTTTAGTGTTTTATTGTGAATTATATGATTGTTTACATGGGAGAACATTAGTTTTACATTCATCCTATCGTATATCGTTTCATTGCTATGGTTACAGTCCCCTCCATGCATCACCAACCAACCAAAGGGTCTGCAAGCCTGCTCCCTGGTCATCAGCACACAGCCCCTCTCCCTCTCTGGGTCTAAAGTCCCCAGCTGCTCCATCTCTCTACGTCATCGTCTCTGCCTCCATCTCTGGCGTCACTGCTTCTCTTGGTAGGGTCCCGCTCTCTGCTCTTCTCTCTTGATGGTCCCAGGGACCACCGCTCCTAGACTGCAAAGTTAATCACTTTTCAAAGTTAGCCCCGCCTTGCTACAAAATGTCTACCTTTACATTTCCAACCCTCACAATCAGTCCTGATAACAATTATTCACTATTATATCATAAGAGACCTATCCACATCTCCTTTCATCAGCCCCTTCTATACAGATTGGCTACTACTCTTTGGAGATTCCACTTCCTCCATGCCCTCTGGATCTAGGTTCCCTCTTGAAAGCTAGTCACTTCTTGCCTTTGTATTCCCCCCACTTTGGATAGCCAATGTCCCAAGTTGCCCATCCCTGTCTACTCTGTGTTGGAGGGGTTGGGAATGATCCTTGCTGTAAAGATTTGTTCCCTCTTTTGAGCTACTGCATCCATAGGTGTAGGTCAAGTTCACCAAATTGTATCAGATTACTCTTTTTTTCCCTCTTCTTTCTTCTTCTAGATGAGCTCTGATCATCCAGTCATTGAAGCCAGGTCAAGTGGGTATTATGTGCAAGTATGGGTGTTCTTGTGCATATGCCCTCTCTTCTTATCAGGTGGACACTTCACTCTCCACTCTAATCCTCTGTAGCTGTGTCACTGACTCTGGGTCCAAGAGTCCCCAGGTCTTGCCACACTGCTGGCCAACCAGGTTTCAACCAGGTTCACAGGAGTCTATTGGACGTTGTAGGGCTTAGCTCACAGCTCATTGCTGTTTTTCTCTCACTTAACCCTTATCGGTGACGAACGTGGTCACCAATCAGAGCTTGTATTCCCATTGAGTCTTAGTCTTGGAAGGGGGTTTGCTCTGAGGGGACCCTACCACTTGCCTTGATGTCTCCTTGCTTGGGCAAGCAACTTGCTTGTTCTTGTAGTAATCAGTCAGTCTACCTATATTGTTTTGTAATTTTCCTGTTGGTCTTTCTTTCAAGAAGTATCTTCTGTTCTTCTAGCTACTCTAGGCTGGTCTGCCCATCCTTTCAAGTGGAAATTTCCCACCTCTGAAGATTCTGGATGCTGTTTAGGATTCCACCTGTAGTCTTATGTAATGCAGAGGCTCCACAGGAAGCCTCCTTCACTGGGTACATTGTAGCCCCATTTTAAGTATTCCAATCAGTTATAGGCAGAAGACGGACCTACAAACTTTCTATGGTGATATTTCTGGCTATTTCCTTCTCTCCCCCTTTAGTGTCTTTTATAATGGTATGCAAGGGAAACCAAGATTCAAAAGACGGCCAAGCATCTATCTTAACATTATTTCCCCCCTTTTGCCCATTCCAACCATGTCTCAATCCCTGTATCCCAGAGTCCTGTTGTTCCAAGATTGTGCATACATCATCATTTACCTGTCCCACTTAGCCCATGCAAACCTGCCTAATTGTTCTTTCATCTGCTTTGTTCTTCTATTCCCCTCCCCGTTCTTATATATTGCTCCCTCCCAGCATCCAAACTATCCTGTGTCTGTTCCCTGCTTTGTGCTCCACCTTCCCCTCCCTCCCCTCACCCTACCCCCCACATCCCTATAACCAGAAAGAATTCCCCCCCCTCCGATTAGTATGGTCCTATGCAGTATTTCTCCTTTTGTGACTGACTAATTTCACTCAACATAATGTCCTCAGGGTTCATCCATGTTATGTGGTGGCTTGCAGCTTCCTTGTTATTTTTCAAGGTAAAATAATATTCCATTGTGTGTATGTACCACAGTTTGTTTATGGGCACTTTGGCTGTCTCCATCTTTTTGCTATTGTAAATAGTGCTGCTATGAACATTGGTGTGCATCTATCTACTCGTGTTATGTCTTGTATTTCTTGTGGATAAATACCAAGTAGGGGAATTGCTGGATCATAATAAGGTATTTCTATTTCCAGCCTTCTGAGGAAGCGCCATATTGCTTTCCAAGGAGGTTGGACCATTTTGCAATCCCACCAGCAATGTAAAAGTGTCCCAGTCTCTCCACGTCCCCGCCAACATTTATTGTCCTCTCCTTTTTTGATGTTTGCTGATGATCTACCCTGTAAACTTTCACTCAATCCACAATAAAAAACCTTAAAAAAAAAAAAAAAGTCTTGAACATCCTTAAATCTTCCAGGTGATTTTGAAAATTAAAACAAGGAAAAAAATTTTTTAGTTCTAAAATAATTGGATGAGCATCCAAAGATGTATATTCCATTTCTATCTATGTAGAGTCCCAGAAGCCTACAGTTTGACCCCCTTACTGTTAACATCTTTTGTATGCTGTACCCATGTGGGAAATTTATCACTTACTCCCTAGCATTTTGGGCCTGTTGAATTTGTTTTAGATTTTGGTGACCAATCTGGATTTCCATGATGAGCAGAAGCGTCAGAACCTCAATGGGACACTTCATGAGCTCCTTCGAATGAACATCGTCCCAATTATCAACACAAACGATGCTGTTGTCCCCCCAGCTGAGCCCAATAGTGACCTCCAGGGGGTAAATGTGGGTAAAGTATGCCTACGGGTTGAGCATGCTGGATGTACTAACACCACGCAGAGCTGCATGTGCTAACTAACACCAGAGAGATGCAGGCATCACGCATGGAGATGAGGTGCAGGGGGGAGGGGGTGGTTGCACTTTGAGGGGTGAGCTAATTCTTTAGGGTGGTGCTGCTGTGAGCTTGGCTTTGTGTTTGGAAAAGGGGTTGCAGGACATTATGTTTAGGAGGTAGCCGGGACCTAAAAGTGCTGCCATTCACATACTCAGTCACTGGTTTTGTCTGCTGGAGTCTACCTAAGGGCTTCTGTGAATTTCTGTTTGAACTGTTTAGCTCACTTAAGACTTTTTAACCCGTATTGCAGGTCATTAGTGTTAAAGATAATGATAGCCTGGCTGCCCGTCTGGCCGTGGAAATGAAAACTGACCTCTTGATTGTTCTTTCCGACGTAGAAGGTATGTGTATGTGTTGGTTTATGAGTTTCCCTCCTTATTTCAATCCTTGGTGTTCTTGTGCCATGGAGTCAGGGCCTGTGTTGAGTTTCCGAGGAGTGGCTGATGGGTTTGAACTGCTCACCTTGTGGTTAGCAGTCAAGTGCTTATCCTACAGCACTACACCAGGACTAGAAATTTTTTTTTTTACTGTGGACCATTATTTATTTTTCAGATATACAGTCTGACAAAGGGTGTTATGACTCAAAAGAGTGTAAGGGAGTTTAGGAGATAGTTTGAATGCTGAAACATTATTTCTAGGCACTTTTGAAGTGCCATTGAGTCGGTTCTGACCCTTAGCGACCCTGTAAAGGGTTTCCGAGGAGCAGCTGGTGAGCTTGAACCGCTGACCTTGCAGTTCAAATGGCTTTGCAGTCTGACGCATTAACCTACAGCGCCATACCAGGACTCCGTTGTATGGCTAGACTACGTCTTATTTACTCATTCATCAGCTGGGGATCCTTCAGGTCATTTATTTCTACATGGACCTGTGTTTTTATTTCACCTGTTGCTAGCATTGTGTTAGCCTTTTGAGGACTGCATGGCTGGTTTCCCACCGTCAGTGTCTGAGGGTTCCGTATTCTCTACATCTTACCCACGCTGAATATTAATTGCTTGCCTCTTTAAATGTTAGCCATCCTCACGAGAGGCTAATAACATTTCATTGTGGTTTGGATCACATTTGTTTTTAATGTAAGTCATGGGACGTATTTGTAATTGAGTCACTACAGACAACCCTATGTGGCCAGGATTGGCATGGGACTACCGACCACAAGGTCAGCAGTTCAAGCCCACCAGCTGCTCCTTGGAACTGCTATAGGAGATTGCTGTGAGTTGGAACTGACTCAACAGCACTTAACAATGCTCTGCTACTGTGTTCTTCTCTGTGTTCACTTCCTCATATTGGGACCCCACTAGGCTTCCCCCTTGATTCTTTTTTTTTAACTTATTATTGTAATTTGGGTGAAAGTTTCCCCAGAAAATTGGTTCTCTGTTTGGTAACTCATACATGTTTTGATTTGTGGCATTGATTGTAATCCCCACAGTGTAATAGCTCTCTTTCCACTGCCGCCTTGTGTTTATCATTTCTGTTCATCCTTCCTAACTTCTGAACATTACCACTGGGCAAATGCTGTTTTTTTTTTTTTTTTTTTTTTTATCTCAGGTGGTTTGTTTGTCTTGAGGAATAACCTGTTTGTTGTCTGGATGGAAGTTGAGCTGCTGGGGGTGGGGGGGTGAGTTCTAGACTTGAAGAGTGTCTGAGAGTCATAGTCTCAGCTGTCTCCATCAGACAAGTCCACTGAACTTTTTCATGATTTTGAGTTTTGTTCCATATTTTTCTCCCCCTCTGTCCTGGACCTCCTGTTGTAATCCTTTCACTATGGTAGTCATCTAGGTCTTCCAGTCTCAGGGTCCTAGAACCTGAGGTTCACATGGTCCATAAGCTTTTTGGATTCATTGTTTTCATGCATCTTTGGTTTTCTGTCTCCTTTACTCTGATTCAAGTTGGCTGTATTCACTCTTCTTACTTTCTTAAGCTTTTCCATGTCACAGTTCTACTTCAAAGAGCATGATTGTTGATGTTAAGTGCCGTCAAGTCTGTTCTGATTCATGGTGTCTCTGTATAGGGTTTCCAAGGAGTGGTTGGTGGATTGGAACTGTTGGTCTTTCAGTTAAAGCAGTCTAGTGCCTATCCTACAGTGCCACGCTATGTTCAAAATAGGCTAAACTTCCAGGATTTGAAAAGCTCCCCATTATATTCCCAGGAGGTCAGAAAAATCCAGCCCACACCCAAGGCAGGTAGCTTTATAGAACTTGTTTTCTATTTTGTACTCCGGCATGAAGAAGGAAGGACAGTGAGGTGCCCAGATACAGCAGGGGCAGATGTGAATGAATGTATGTCTTCTGTGCATGTGGAAAATCGAGATGCCACACCTTTATTTCAGTATCTTTACCTGTAAAAAGGAGTCCTGGGGTGGCACTGCAGGTTAATGCGCTGGACTGCAAAGTCGTTTGAACCACAAGGTCGGCAGTTCAAGCTCACCAGTCACTCCTCAGAAACCCTGTACAGGGTTGCTATGGGTTGGAACCATCTCACTGGTACTTACTAACATCATTGACAGCCTGTAAAAAGCCTTAGTCCTATGTTTACACACTGCAATCTGAAGTTTCAGAATAGGAACCACTTAGTTGAGGTGAGTGAGCCCCCTGAAGAAGAAGGCATTTCATTTCAGTACACAAATTTTACTGGATTTCTACACTGTGCCAATAATTGTGCTAAGAGCTTTGCAAATGCCCCTTTTTAAATCCTTGGGGCATCTCTGCAAAGTAGATACACTAGCCCAGTTATACAAATAAATTCACTTAGTTCAGATCAGCTAAATGGTAGGTGCTGAGTCATATAGCAAGTGCATGACATAGGCTCTTTTCATATTTAAACCTGTCTCATTTTAAAACACTCCTTTTCTCCTCTATTGCCCCAAACAAGGGAAAGGATGTGATACAAAGAGACCCACTTGTAAAAGCCAATGTGAAACACACTCTAGTAAATCCAAGTTTTCAGAGTGGCTTCAAACACCAAAATTGGTCATTGGGAGGTTTGTGCTATATGTTCTAGGTGGATTTGAAAAGCTGCTAAAAGTGAAAAAAAGCAATAGGCAAAATACCAGAATGCTGGGAATCCCTGGATGTCTCTGGAGAAGTTCTGAGTTGTTGATACAGTACCTGTATGAAATTGAAACAGCCTCAGAAGTCAAGGTTATGATCTCATAGCATTGAAGCTTCTAGGGATGACCCAACCCACAGTCCTAGAAGAGTTGTGGGGTACTGGGTTGAGGTAGACAGATAGTGTGTGAGGTTACTCTTGCTCTCCCTGTAATTACTGATCTTTGTTGGTGCTGCTTTGTTCTAGATGGAGCACCAATTTCTTCTCTCCCCAAGAGAGGTTGTGTACAGCAAAGTTGTATTGAAGATTTAGAATAATGGAGGGGATAGATGTGTTATAGCACAGGACACACAACAACCAAGTATAGGACATCCCTGCCCAAAATATTCGTCAGGCAGCCCCCAACCGCATGAAGTATATCCCTGTGTGGGTCTCATTAGGTCTTCTCCACATTTCTTCGAGCCTCTCCTCCCCCACTTCTCTTCTCCAAAGGCTCCAACGTGGTCTTTTTCTAAGTGGAATTGTGAGTTTTTCATCTTGAATTGCATGCACGGAACACTTCATGTTAACTCTATTTTCTGTCACTCTACTCTGTTTTAAAAGAGACATATTCTTTATGGCAGTAAATCCAGACTAAATGCCAAGAGTCATGAGTTCTGTGGACTCAGCATAACCTTCATGGACACTCGTTCATAAAATGGGGAGTCAAAGGGTACTGTGAGTTAATGAGTACCTGTCTCACATTTCATCTTTCCTGGAAATAGTCCCATTATCCCGTATATGGCTGCTTCACTGTTTCTGCAGTGGATCCTGTTCTTTTTCAATCCTGGAGACTATGGGGCAAGGATGTAGTCAGGGAAAACATACATCTGTGAAACTAGGTTACATAAGTGTGTGAGGGGAGCTGGTCTAGAGATGGGATTTCTTTGTTTGTTTGTTTTTAGTGTGGGTGAACTCCACCTACCCCTGTTCTCGTCTCTGCTTAGAACTGTTGGTACAGCCGAATTCAGCTGGGGAGGAAAGTGTAGGGTGGTCCTTAGGGGCTGAGTAGATCTGGCTTTGGGACACACTCCCTTCTCTCCGAGCTGCCCCACTGACTCTCATCTTCTTTTTAGGCCTCTTTGACATGCCCCCAGGGTCAGATGATGCTAAACTCATTGATACCTTTTATCCTGGAGATCAGCAGTCGGTGACATTTGGAACCAAGTCTAGAGTGGGACTGGGTGGCATGGAAGCCAAGGTAAGAAAAGAACCAGGTGCCCTAACTGACTGTAGCCCAAACACTACTGTGTCCCTTTTATTTGTATAATTGTCTGGGGGTTAGTGATTCAGATAGAGGCACACATAAATAATGTATATTATCTGAATACAGATGAAAGAGCCCTGGTGGCACAGTGGGCTAAACATTGGGCTGCTGGGTCGGCAGTTCAAATTGATCAGCTGCTCCCTGGGAGAAAGATGAGACTGTCTGCTCTGTAAAGGTTTGCAGTCTCAGAGCCCCTAAGGAGCACTTGTACCCTGTTTGTCCTCCAGGGCCGCTGTGAGCTGAAATTCAGGACTCAGTGGCAGTGGGTCTGGGAAATACAGGGTTGATGAATATTATACAGGTGTACTCTAGTCATTAATAAATGCTGTGTTCATATTGTGGACTCCGTAGGGTAAGGCCTGTATACATTTCATAATTTGTAAATTCTGTCGTGTTATTATCAGGTCAAATATTTCTTAGTAGAATTTTTCAAAAATTCTCCCTGGTAATTGTTCCAGAAAGGTGTATCTTTAAGGTACAGCATCGTAAGTACCCCTGGCAGAGATGAGAACTCCAAAAAGGGGTCATGGGGGCAAGGCAGGCAGCAAGCACAAAGGAGATAAGAGGACAGGTCCAGAAAAGGACACTCCTAACAGCTCTGTTTAACCAACCTAAACCTACTCAGAATCAGAGTCAGTCAAAACCTGACCTGCTTCTAAGACAAAATATAATAAGGAAGATGTCAAAGTTAGGAGTCCCAGTACTAGTATTGTGGGCCCCAGAGAGTCTGGAAGAGCACATGCTGAAAATTCCGGAGGGGCTGGCTTGTCTTTAGGCAACACAGGCATGGTTGGACTGTGCATTGGAAGAAAAGAATGTAACCTGACCATGTTTTCTGAGCTTTGAAGCTATCAAAAGCTTTGCTTATCTACCTAAATTGCCCAATATCTTATGTCTTTGTGAAGGTTGAAAGTATAGGTGACTAGACCATACAGGGAGCTGAGTCTCATTTTTAGATCTGACCTCTCTAGGTGAATGCGGCGCTCTGGGCTTTGAAGGGTGGCACTTCTGTTGTTATTGCCAACGGAACCCACCCAAAGGTGTCTGGGCATGTCATCACAGACATTGTGGAAGGAAAGAAAGTTGGCACCTTCTTTTCAGAAGTAAAACCTGCAGGTAAGTAGGTCTCCATAAGGCCCCACAACCTCGGGCATCCATGGCTAGTGACACCACAGTTGAGATGCAACTGAAGACTCAGCTCTCACTTTGGGAATAGAGATCACAAAATCCATGTGTTAATGTGATGAAAATATGACAGAGCTTTTGAATATTATTTGCAAAATTGGATTTTGCTGTGCTGTGGTGAAATTCTATCTAACTTGTCTAGCTAAGGTCTCTTGTCCTCTCCCAAATCACTGAGCTAAGGAGCATAAGCTTTCATTTTCTCAGGAAACATTTGCTAGGTCCATGCTGTATGCTAGATACTAATTATTGCAAAGGTGCATGAGATACTTTTTAAATTATTATTTATAGTAACTGTACTGTAGCCCATTGTCTGAATTTTTATTATGAATTGAGTGAAGGTTTGCAGAGCAGATCATCAGTTTTACATACAACAAATCATCCTTTTTTTCATCACAATGATTGTAGTCCCCTCCATGTAACTAACAAAAGCTATCCTACTTCCTCTCTCTGGTTCTTTACATTCCACCCTTCTGACTTTGTCCTTAGGTAAAAGTTGCTGTTTTTATCGTGAATGGTTGACCATTCCATGTTGAACATACCTTACTAGTATTGTTGTCCCTACTCCATACCTAACTGCCGCTGGCCTGACATTTGGGCCACAAAGGGCAAATTCCCTTCCAGACCTGAAGGATGACCAAGGGCCATAGTTTCAGATTCCTCCAATCTCTAACCAGTAAGCCCAGTCTTTTTATGATTTTGAATTTCGTTTCATATTTTCTCCCACTCTGGGGTCAATGGTGTTTGTGCTCTCAGGTGTTCATGATGGACAGAATTGTCTTATCCTCCCCCTTCAGAAATGCAAGTAAAGTTTAAAAGAGAAGCCAAAGTGGTATTGAAGAGAGCTGTAGAAACTGTAAAGTGTATTGTTGGCCCCAGAAATACCAGAAGCGATGTGTACACCTAAGTTATTCTTTGTTGTTTCGCTGGTCAAAGTGACCTCCGTATATGTGAAGCAAGCATCCCATGACATGAGCATTCCTTCTGTGTGCATGACAGTGAGCTTGTGCATGTGCTGGGATCAGGAGGAAGAACTAAGGTCTGACGTTTGCAAATTCACAGGTCCTAACATCGAGCAGCAGGGGGAGATGGCTCGATCTGGAGGAAGGCTGTTGGCCACTTTGGAACCTGAGCAGGTAATAACTGTCTCCCGTGGTTGTACTATAGTTTTCAGATTGAGTCATGCTGTACGGGCAGATCCATTGTAAGCAGTTTCGTGAAACAGCCCCGCCTGCCAACTCCACCTTATTCTTCCTTGGTGTTCCACAGTTATCCTGAGTCACAAGTCTGATTTGAATACACTATACCTTTGTCCTTTTGTTAAATTTTATTTTCCCTTTGTCTTTGGTTGGCCAAGGCCTGCTTGCTTATCAAGATGTGATGCCAATAATGAACTTAAGATTGATTGGTCTGTGCTAGGGAAACTTTGGCCTAAGGAAGGAGAAGAGAATCTAAAGTAGCCACAGCAGAGAAAGGAAAGAAAAGGAGAAGCCTAGCTTTTCTTTCTCAAGCCATTTTCTTCTACTCCTTCAGTAATCCCCACACAATTGGCCAGATTTCCCCTAAGCCAACAACTGGGTATGCTTGGTGTCTGCTCAGGTGGTCAAGACTGGACAGTGTCTCTTGATTGTGATCAAGACTGGGTTTTGTCTTTTGATGGTCTTTAAATAATCCT